CTTGATTTTATGGGCTTAGAGGCAGGAAGAGGCACCAAACAGCCAGTCTCGGGGAGTCTGGGACTGAGAGGCCTAGGGAGGAGAGGTCCTTGGTGGTGCCTGGGCCAAGGAGCTGCGGGCCCACAGCTGGCAGAAGCCGTTACCCAAAATACCATAAATTGTCAGCTGGCATCAACCATGCTGGCATGTTTTCAAGGTCCATCCATGTTGTAGCATTCATTGCTACTTAATTTCCTTTTATTGCTGAGTACTATTCCATTGTTTATATTACATATTTAATTGATCCATTCATCAATTGGTGGACATTGGGGTTGTTTCCACTTTTTGGCTATTATGAATAACACTGCTGTGAGCATTCATGTTTCAGCGTTTGTGTGGTCATATGTTTTTATTTATCTCGAGCATTATTTCTCTTAAAGTGGAATTATTGGCTTACATGGTGATTCTATAATTCTAAGTTTAACTTTTTGAAGAACTACTAGATGGTTTTCCAAAGTGGATCTACTGTTTTATATTCCCATCAGCCATGTATAAGGATTCAAATTTCTCTACCTCCTTGACAACATTAATTATTATCTGTCTTTTTGAAAAACAAAGAGGAAGGGAGAGAGAGAGAGAGAGAGAGAGAGAGAGAGAGAGAGAGAGAGAGAGAGAGAGAAACATCAATGCAAGAGAGAACATTGATTGGCCACCTCCTTCACACCCCCCACCGGGGATCAAGCCCAAAACCTGGGCATGTGGGCTGACCAGGAACCAAACCAGCAACCCTTCAGTACATGGTACAACACCCAACCAAATGAGCCACACTGGCCAGGGCATTATCTGTCTTTTTTTATAGTCATCCTATTGGGTGTGAAGTGAGACAAGTGGTAAGAATTTGACAAATCTGACACAGAAAACTTTAATTTCCTTAATATCAAAGAGCCATTACAAGTAATTATTTTTGTAAAAAGACAAAAATCCAATAGGTAACTTACAAAAAGTCACAAATACACAAATCACAAAAAAATATAAATGTCTCTAATACACGTATAAAAATATGCTTACTAGTAACCTCCTCAACAATAAAAATTCAAATTAACCCAACAATAAAATGTCACTATTCTCCTACATATTGGGAAAAAAATGAAATACAATAACAATGCCTTCTAAATAAGGTTCTTTTATCAACATTGGCAGAGTGGGAATCCAATAGTCTTTGTTCACAATGACTTAGCAGTCTCTGTTGAACAGTTAAAAGTTACACATTCCTTTACACGATGTTCTGCCTCTAGGATTGCATCCCACAGAAATATTTGCCCATGTGTACAAAATTGACTGAAAAATTATTTACTGTCACAAAAAAATTTAACAGTAAAAGAAGTTAGCCCAAATATGTATCAAAGTAGACTATTAAATAAGATATGTAATGTCCATGAAATGAGATTTTTAAAAGCAACAAAAATATGTGCATGTACTGACAAGGAAAGCTGTGTCCTCTATATAAATGTGATAAGCAAGTTGTAAAATATTAAGCAGAGAAAGGTTTTGACTTGTTAAGAATAAAGATAATGGGTTATTAAGCTCAAATAAAAGAAAATCTGGAGATTTTGAACCATTCATAGGCTTGTGCCTGAGGAATGAGACTACTCAGGAATATCACTAAGTTAATTATTTCTGTAACGCTCTATCTATTAATAAATATAATTACTTTGATAAAAATTTCAAGTTCTAAAGTAAAAATCAAATGTAGAGAAGACCTTAAGATGATAAAAAGCAAGTGCCCACCCCTACCCTTTACCACTTTGTTACAAGCCCTAGGACCCATGAAAGACATTGTGGGTCCTTGCTATAAAAGATGAAGATTTAGTTCACATGCTAGCTCTTTACCTTTCTCCTCCTCCTCCCCCTCCTCCTCCTCCTTCTCCTCCTTCTTCTTCTTCTTCTTTTTCTTCATTTTTAGAGAAATGGACGGATGGATAGCTAGATAGACATTCTACTAGTTTTTTTTATAAGTTTAACAAATATAAATAAACCTCTATTTCTGATTCATCAGTTCCCAAGAATTCATTGTGAACTTCTCTCTGTAGAATGTTGGCAGCCCAGCCTTTTATTAATTTTTTAAAATTTATTTTATTGTTGACAGTATTACAGATGTTCCCCAATCCCCCCCTTCACCACCCTCTTCCCAGCCCCTGCTCCACCCCAGGCCTTCACCACATTATTGTGTGTGTCCATTGGTTATGCATGTATGTATATGAGTTTTTTGATTAATCTCTTCCCAGCCCCACTTCCATCTGAGATCTATCAATCTGTTCCATGCCTCCATGTCTCTGGACCTATTTTGTTTGTCAGTTTATTATGTCAATTAGATTCCACTTATAGGGGAGATCATGTGGTATTTGTCTTTCTCTGACTAGTTTATTCACCCAGCATAATATTCTCCAGGTTCATGTTGTTGAAAAGGGTAAGAAATTCTTTTTTAAAAAATATTTTTATTGATTTTAGAGAAGGGAGAGGGAGAGGGAGAGAGCAACAGAAACATCAATGATGAGAGAGAATCATTGATCAGCTGCCTCCTACATATCCCCTACTGGGGATCGAGCCTGCAACCCAGGTATGTGCCCTTGACCAGAATCAAACCCAGGACCCTTCAGTCCGCAGGCTAACACTCAATCCACTGAGCCAAACCAGCTAGGGCAGAACTTTTTCTTTTTTAAAAAAATGCTCAACATCACTAATCATCAGGGAGATACAAATTAAAACTACAGTGAGATATCGCCACACACCTGCCAGAATGCCTACAATCAATGAACAACAAGTGCTGGCAAGGATGTGGAGAAAATGGAAGGCTAGTACACTGCTGGCAGGAATGCAGATTGACTGTAGCCCCTATAGAAAACAATATGGAATTTACTTAAAAAAAATCAAAATGGAACTGCCATTTGACCCAGTGATCCCACTTCTAGGAATATATCCTAAGAAACCTGAAACACTACTCAGAAAGAATATATGCACCCCTGTGTCCTTAACAGCATTATTTACAACAGCTAAAATCTGGAAACAGCCCAAGAACCCATCTGTAGATGAGTGGCTAAAAAGCTGTGGTGCAGTCACACAATGGAATACTATGCAGGCCTGCCTTTTCCATCACCTCCTTTACATTCATGTCCCACCATCTTTTATTCATGTCCTCATCTGTCTCTCCTCTCACAACCATACTTTGCCCATTGGTGACCCAAAAAGTTGAAAACTAAAAAGCAGCTGCTTAAACATGAAGATCTAGAGGACTGGCATTGTCAGATTTCTAATTTTTATTTTATTTTTAAAATATATTTTTATTGATTTCAGAGAGGCAGGGAGAGTAAGAGAGAAATAGAAACATAGATGAGAAACATCAATCGGCTGCCTCCTACATGCTCCATAGTGAAGATCAAGCCCGAAACCCGGACATATGCCTGACTGGGAATTGAACTTCCTGGTTCATAGGTTGATGCTCAACCACTGAGCAACACTGGCTGGGCTGATTTCTAATTTTTAGAATGTGGTTCTTTGTATGATGGTAGATGATGGACTGAAGAAGATCAAGAGTGGTGGAGGTTGGGTGCTCAGTTAAGGGCTATTGGAATACTGCAATTGTGTGAAGGTGGCTGCTGCTGGGGTATAAACAAGACAGAGGGGCACGTACATAATATATTATTCAGCTTTATGTTATTGGTAAGACTTCCAGTCAACAGTAGGTTAATTAGTAGTTTTGAGGGAGTGAAAAGTTATAAGCGTACTTCTAACTGTGCAAATGGTCGTGCCTATAATCCCCATGTTGTTCAAGAGTCAACTATATTTCCATATTATCCTTTTCATGATTGTGTCTGTAGTAATATTCTCTGTTTCACTCTTAATATTAATAATTTGTGTTTTTCTTTATGAGGAGGAAGAGTGGCGGGTTGAGCCCCAGGACTTTTAACCAATTCTCCGATCTGTAGCCTGGCTCAGGGCCTTCCCTTGGGGGTAAAATTTGCTGTAACACTCAGCAAGTTGAAGCTAGTTTCACTACAGATCAACTTCCTCATGTTGGCAATGGGCACAGCCTCATTGTCCTGTTCTTTTCCCATGGCAGGATGAGGTTGAGTGAATACTTGCAGAAAGGGCTTCCAATGAGCTTCCTTGTGCAGTGAGGGGCTGAGCGTAGACCCCAAGTTCTTGGCAGGGAGAGGCAAACAGGTTTCTGAAAGCAGAGCAAGCTGATCACCTACACATGTGCACTTATTGGGGTACACCTTCTGTGTTAGAAAGCTTCAGAGGCCTGCCTGTAGTGTCCAAGGTGGGAGGCTGTTGGGGTAGGGGACAAGGTCATTGCCCTCCTGTAATCTGAGGGCGACCCACAGATTCACATTCCTGTTCACATGATGGGAGGGTGCATGCTGCAGATGTGCCTTTGTTCTAGATAAAAGCGAGAGAACTGCCAGACTCAAACCCTCCATATCATCCCATCCAAAACCTTCTGCTCTTTGGGCAAGAGCATTGTCCCTGCTCCCATTTGAAGTCACAAGAATCAAACTCTGTGTCAGCTCAGAAATAAAAGTGACCTTAAACTAACAGTTTAAAACTCCATTCACTCAGGACCCTGGGGGGAGGGGAGAGGAAAGGAGTCCCAGGCAAAAGAGGCTTCCAAAAGGAGCATGTTGAGTTAGCACCCACTGGGTTCCTACCTCTGTAAGGAGCTGTTACCCAATCAAAACTGATTCCTCCTCAGACTTGCAGAGGGGGGCAGAATCAGACCTCACTCCATCCTTTGTACCCAGTGATAAGCATATTCCTGGTGGTGGACCATCAGGCTGGCTAAAGGCAAGGGGCCCCACGGAGACCAGGAAGGAGGACTTGGACAGGCCCATCTTTCGTTACCACATACTATGAAACTGGAAAACAAATGGCAAGCAGAGAGGCGTGCATGAGGAAAGCATGTTTCTCCCAGTTCTGTTCACAGAGCAAGGCGGAGACAGTGGGGCGCGCTCCTGAAGCCCCTAGAGGTCTTCACACTGCATCTTCATCACAGTGAACTCGGCGTTCCAGGGGAGTGCTCCAACTATAAAGCTGCACGTCAGTTTCTGAAAGAGACCACCACCACAATCAGTAGTGCGCCGCAAGGTACCAGCTTAGAATATGCTGAAGATGGTTGTCGTCCATCAAGAAGTGCGCCCAGGAGCCTGCTAGCTGAAGTGCTCCCAGGAACCTGCTAGCTGAAGTGCTCCCAGGAGCCTGCTAGCTGGATGCTGCAAACCTTCATAGTGATTAGCAAATGCTGACGGCCCCAGAGGATTCTCTGTTCCCATACCAACCATTAGACAGCAAATACAAACAATCCTATATTTTGGTGGGAGATCAGATGTCAACTTCATTTTATTTTTAAATCTCTATAAATATATTCTACAACGTAAATAAAGCAATGCTATGCCAGATATGAGTCAATGTATGTTGTATTAATAATTAAATAATTATTAATTAATAAATACCTTTGAAATAAAATATTCTACCTGTGCAGGATAGATGGATGAATGGGTAAATAAAGGGCCGAATAGGTGGATGGATGGATAAATGGGTGGAGGGATGCATGAATGGGTAGATAGATGAATGCATACATGGATAGATATAGATAGATAATTAGATGATAGGTAGATAGATAAATAATTATATAGATGATAGATAAGTAGATGATTGATAGATAGATGATAGGTAGGTAGATAGATGATAGATAGATGATAGAGATAGATAGATAGATAGATAGATAGATAGATAGATAGATATAGATAGATAGATAGATAGATAGATAGATAGATAGATAGATGATAGATAGATAGATAGAGTGAGATAGAAGTCCTGGAAAGCAGCAAAGGGCATTTGAATAGCTGACTACAACAAGGAGGTACTTCCAGGAGCTCTGAGGCAAACGGAGTCAGAGAGAATGGAGTCAGGAGTTGATCTCTGCTGAGTATCAGACACCTACAGAGGAGGACAATGGAGCTTCTTGCCCCTCAGGCCCACAGACAATACCAGATCAAGATGGCTTTGCAGGGGAATTATATCAGCTTGGCAACCAAAAGCTCCCTTTGTTTTTAAATGGACTCAGAACACAGAAACAGGTTAAAAAGCCTCCGTTCTTATTACACCAGACAAGAGAAACCCCGAGACCAAATCATAAGCCGGACGGCTGGTCGCAGGGCCTGCAGCAGCAGTACCACCAAGGAACTTCAAAAATGGCATTAAGACATTCTACTGCTGAAGTGTTTGTCCTAGTAAATAGAACAAAATCCTTTTAAAATACCAGTGCTCTGGCCACGTGGCTCAGTTGGTTGGAGCGTCATCCTGTATACGGAAAGGTTCAGGTTCAATTCCAAGGGTGCACGGGGGCCAGCAGATCCATGTTTCTCTCTCACATCAAGGTGTATGGTCTCTCATCCCCCCCCTTCTTATCTCTCTAAAATCAATAAACGGGATTTTGAAAATACTAGCAAGTTAAACAGTTACTGCTAGCTCGAGGCTGCCGAATTTTAGGCAGTTCTACAGCAGTGCCTCTGAGCCTTTCCCAGCGATATCAAGTATATGTGGGTGTCTATACCTGGAAATTTTGATTCGATAGGTTTAGGATGAAGCAATGGAACTGGCCCGTGTGTGCATTTGTGTGTGCATGTGTGTCTGTGTTTTCACCTCATTCTCCAAAGGTTATTAATACTAGTTTGAGAGTACTGAATATGCTATATAAAAGCAAACGTCCTAGATAAAGAAGTGGCATATTGAACCCAACTGCATTCTAACAGATGAGTGCAGACACACTCGTTGCACTCTTTCCAACCTGGGGCTGGCAGAAGGGCTGCAACAGAGAAAGGAGGTGGGAAGGAGAAGCTGTCTGCTGTCAACGTGGTGCTGACTTAGAATACGCCATCATGTTCACAAGCACATCTGTGGAGTGACCTTCAAGAGGTGCACACCCTCCCCCATCCCAACTCTCAGAGAGAGCTGAACATTTGCAGTGAAAGAGACAGAAATGCCAGATGTGCCCCTCAACTCCAGGCTCAGCAAAACTGTCCGAGTCAAAGGAATAAGAAATGCCCCCTACTGTATCTGTGTGTGGTTATCCAGGAAATTTATATTTATTGGTGATCTATGGGCCTGTCACCATTTTCAAAAAGCTATCGTCAGTCAAGGAGGATGAGAACTAAAAATAAAGTTATAAAGCTACACAAAAAAAGAAAAGTGTACCATAGTCCAGACATGTAAGAATAAGGACTCAATATGAGGGGATCTATTATTTCAGTTTACTACACTAATTGTTCAAAGAAGAGAAAGAATTCACTAGGTAGATGCTGAAAGAATAATCAATAGAAGAAAATATTCTTAATTTTAAAAATAACATGTCATGAAGAGAGAATTGGAGAGACTTCAGAAAGTAGCACTTATGTAATATTTAATAAGAGAATATAAATGCTGGTACTGAAAGCATTTCCATTAAAGCAGGAATAAGAACAATTGTTTGGCATTCTTATTCTTCAACATTATCCCAAAGGCTTGGAAAGAAAGTTTTCAGTGTTGATAAATGCGTGCTTAAAAACATATATCTTAAAACTGAGATTGGCAATGTGGGGATAAGGACACATATGTAATACCTTAATCAATAAAGAAAAAAACCTGAGGTTGTCCATGGAAACTTTAGATACAATAAGTGAGCTCCTTGAGGAAAATTCTCCTTAATTCTTTTTAATATGTTCTACAAACAGGTAAAAAGCAACAACGTTCACTATAACTCCAATAAGTCCAGTATAAAAGAATATATTTAAACCTACCATAATTCTACTAAAAGATTTTTAAAAATACTAGCACAAAAGATCAGATGGCATTGAGACACGCTCGCAGCTTAAATGTGTTCCCTGATGGCTATCTCCTGCTAACTGGAAACGATCAAACTTGCTCAGGTGGGGCACACAGAGGCAGTCCCAGGCATGAGGGAGTGTCCTTGGTGATCAGGCCTTTGCAAGCTCCTGTACTCAATGCCAGAAGCAGCATCACCTGGGAACTTGTCAAGAATCCAAATTTTTGGATCCCATTCCAGACCAATGAGTCAGAAATTCTGCAGGTGGGATGTGGGTTTATCAAGGCCTTCCGGTAATTCTGATGCCCACTCATGTGGAGAACCATTGGTATAAAGAAAGAGACAGAAGCCATGAGGCCAACATGGCGGCTGCCAAATCACACAGCTCAACATTGTGGCTGTCTACACTGTTCTCTGACAGAAAAGATGATTTCCTTATTCTCACAATAAACAAGGGAAGAGCAAACCAAAATCCCTAAAAGATAGATGGCCAACACTATACTGTAGACAAACAGAAATCTCATTAGCTGTTTATACCCTTTATAATTATCTTAAAAAATATTAATCAAATTTAAACTGGTTTTTGTATTAAAAATTTCAGTTGAGATCTTAAAAATTAATCCTCTTTTTTTAAAAATCGGACCAAGAAGTAATATATTTTGAATTCCTAGTCATTTAAGAGAAAACATTTTATTTTTTCAAAAACAAGTTATACATTAGATATTTAATTAATTTCTCCCGATTCAATTTGCACCTTAAACTTTCAGAGCTTTAAATCTTAGGTAGAAAATTAAATACTTAGCATTTTTCAAATCAATACTTTTGCATTTAAGGATACATTTCAAATAAAATATAAGGCATTTTCAATTAATAGATTAACTTCTATCTTCTAGACCTCATACTAGGCATACTCAGATCAACATTTCAGTATTGTAAATCTCAATACTTTTAGATGATTTGAACTTAAAAGTTTTAAGTTTCCAGCCAATAAGCCTGGCATAGCTGCTAAATTTCAAAATGGTCACAATTTTTTAAAAAAAAAAAGAAAAGAAAAGAAAAGAAAAGAAAGAGACAAAGACACCCCTCCTAGGCAAAACTTAGGGGCCTCCACTAATCTCAGACTAAGCACTTGGATAATCCAGGGCTCTCCCCACCTCTGAAATTAAAAATATAGGCTTCAAGTGAAAGGCCCTGGGCCAACCCAGCTCTTTGGGGGGAGTCATTGGACCTTCATTGAAACTATGGCTGAGCCTAGCAAGAATCAACTGTAAGTCTGGGATGGGGACACTGTGTGGCCTAGTCACTGCTTAATCACCAGCACAGAACAGCACTGGTACAAGTAAGCTTCGATGAGTAGATGAGTGAATGAACAAATTTCCTCTTGTGTCTTCACAAGGATGAGCAACTGTGGGGGCAGCCACAGCTGACTGCTCATCAGGGCCCAAGAGAGCAGACTTTCAGTAAATATGCATGGGCAAGTTTTCCTGCACCAAGAGGCCAGAGTTGATGGAGCCCTTTCAATAAGAGTGACATTGACAGCATGCTGTCCTTGTGTTGAGGGGTAGGGAAAGTCTCAGAGAAGTCCCCCACATTCTGCAGACCTACACTCTCCACTCTAAAAGCCACAGAGTTGACCACTTCTGGGGCTAAATATTGGGAGTCATCCAGACCTCAAAGAGAGAGTCTGGACACCCCAAGTTCTGACTGGGGCTTAGAGTTGCCAAGACCATCACAGACACTTGGTTTGTCACTTACCTTTGCCAGTTTGGAGTTTTCCTGAGTGACACAGTTTTCATTACTGTTTGAAAGCTTTCTGCAATTGCTACGGGCAATTTCAACATCAATAAAGTATTCCAAACGGTCTGTGACCTGTCAATCAGCAATTATAACAATTGTGAGATTTTATTCAAAAAGTTGTATTTTGCCTTTAAGAAGTTTTAGCGAACACTAAAAAACTACTCTCACGTTCATCCTGCCTCCCTATCTGTTAGCCAGTCTTTCTCCAGTGATGCCCACTGCCTGGATTCCTTTGCACATTGATACCACTTACGTAGCCCTACATGGAGCTGGATACGCAGGGAAGAGGCTTCTTTCTAGTGTGGGGCCTCCTAGAAGGCAAAGTCTTCTAATTCCATTTTCTGTCCCAAAGTCTAAGGCATGCTGCACACTCAGTGACGGGTTGGGGGAGAAAAATGAAGTCACCAGAACCAGCAGCTCCTCTGGGCCCAGGATGTTACATATTCATGTGGGCCAGATGGAGGGGCAGATAATTCAGCCACATTGGACATCCCCCCTGATTCTTATCCCACACACACACCCCTCAGGCTCTGTCATCTGATTAAATCTCCTGCCCCTTAAGGCTTTTCTACTCGAGGTCCCTCCCACCACCTCAGCAAACAGACAAGGGGCTATGCCAAGGGAGTTTGTCTTTCTGTTCTCTGTTGAGTGTTTAGCAAGGAGTGTAGCAGTAGATTTGTAGTAAGGCATCAGTATTTACTGAATTCTTTAATGACTGAGTGCAGTGAAGGTGAAGGTGGTCATTTAAATCTGCTTTCATCAGGTTAGAAAACATCACAGCAAGCCACAAAAAGGGGTATCGGTGCCTTGGTTCCCGCTTCCCTGGACTCCACTTTTTCTAGTATGTTTCCTCATTGCCATCTCTGAACCTTGATAAAGTTGTATTAAATTGTGGCTGTGTTCCAAAGAATTAACAAGGGAGACTCTGGCCTATTGGGGAGAAGCTGGTTAGACATCAAGAAGTGACCAGCAGAGGTACACCTTGAGTTTGGAAATTAAGTTTGTATTTAGAGAATCTCAAAAATACTGTGGCCGTGAACCTGATCAGGAGCAGGACTTCCTGTCAGTCATAATGCCTGCTGACCCTCGCTCTCTGTCATGCACTACACCCGGGCTTTGCACACAATAACTGTCAGCTCAGCCGGTGCGCTCAGTGGTTGAGCCTCAACCTATAAACCAGGAAATCATGGTTTGGTCAGGGCACATGCCCAGGTTGCGGGGTCGATCCCTAGTAGAGGGTGTGTAGGAGGCAGCTGATCAATGATTCTCTCTCATCATTGATGTTCTATCTCTCTATCCCTTTCCTTTCCTCTCTGAGATCAATAAAAATATTTTTTAAAAAATAACTCAGTTAACCCACATACCAAGCCTCTGGGGTAAGACTATCACTCCCATTTTTTCAGGTAAGGAAACTGAGGCACAGAGGAGCTAATTAGCTATCCATCTAACTACCAGCCAACCCAGGGCTCAAACAAGATTCTCCTAGCATGTGGACTAGCATCCCTAAACACCATGCTCACCCCTCTCTTGTTTCTGCCCACTTTTCTTGTCCAGCCAGAGGAAGGCAGAGGATTGCTGTGTGTGATTCCTGGGGCACGTGAACCTGAAGTTTCATGGACATCCGGTTTCATGGACACCTTGATTGAATCTGCATAACCTCTTTCTAAATATAGGTTACCTAGAATGACAGTTTTAAAACCCAAATCTAATAACATGGATCCTAAGAACTCCAGACCACATGTCTGTCTGGCTTTCCAGTGCTCCTAAAATAAAGTCTAAGTCTTGCCCATAGCCTGAAAGGACAGGCCTGGTGGTCCCTGTTTATTTCCTGGCCAGTCACACTGGCTCCTGGGTTGCCAAACGGGCCCTGTTTCTTCCCACTGGCAACCTGCTATGCCTAAACGCTCTTCCCCACCCCCATGCACCATAAACCTCCCTGCCTTCCTTCTGTAGCAGATGCTATGAGTGGTGCCCCATGTCCCATGCTGTTCCTAAGCACACTGCTAGGTCCTGGGGCTCCATGCTGGGGCTTCCTGCTGCCGACAGGAGCAAGGACTCCCAGAATAGCTCTTGGACAATGCCGGGTAAGAGTTGGTGGATAAGTAGCCCAACCCCTCACCGACAGGTTGGGCCCATTTCTAATCAGGCTCTATGCCCTCTCCCTAATTCCCCAGATAGACTGAGCCCAGCTGCCCAAGTGGTAACCTGCTCAGTAATTTACCCCACATGGGTGCCCCTGACCCCTCACACTCCCCCTTCTGGCCTCCTGGTGCTTCCTGGGATGGCTTTCCAAATATCTGCACTTGAATTCTAGCACAAGAGTCTGCTTCTGGGAAACCCAAACTGAAACACTTCCTACCCACCTTCTTCACCTTATTTCACTCCTAGTCTGACCTTGGGCTGACCTAGAGAAGTGGCACTCAGCCTTGTCTGCATATAGGGATCACCTCCTGGAGGGTTTTAACACCTACGGAGGCCGAGGTCCCCCCTAAAGACTCTCATTTAATTGATGAGGATGCAATAGGACATTTACAAGCTCCTCGGGTGAGAAATGCTGTCTGAAGAAGTCTTCCCCTGGTAACCAGACCTTGTCTATGTTCCATGTCTCTGGAACAAACATCGTGGCTCCTCATTCATGGTTGAGCATTTTTTCTTTCTAATTGGACTGATGGCTCCCCAAGGGCTGTGATCATTTCTGTCCATCTCATAGCCCCACCTACAATGGCTAGCATAGAAGTGGCATTGGAGAAACTTGCTAAATGTGTATGTTTCTGGGGTACCAAAGGAAAAAACTGTGAGGGAGACTAGAAAAGTTACAAGACCTAGGAGCTATTCCTTTATCTCAAAACTAGTGTCCTGGTGCATGGATTTGTGCACATTGAAAGGAAATTAATTAGAAAAAATATAATAGAAGTGTCAACCAAATTCACAATTAACAATGACAGATCAAAGCACATGTGTGTGATTGGCGCCAGCGAGACCTTTATATATATAGATAAACTTGCTTAATTAGACCTGTTTTCTGATTTAGCTAAACTTTTTCCAGCCCAGTGGAGCACCCCAACTTCTCTTTAATTGTCAGCAACACAGCAGTAAATATCAACACAAAGCAGATTATTATTGTAGGGAAAACAAAGGCTAAAATATTTAACTGCAGCAGTGTTTGACTATATTCTGTGCAGTGAGAAAACCTGACGCCATTTTCAAGGTCCACCATTTTTTACTTCTTTTCAGTTGGGTCAAGTTTCTAAGCTTTCTAAATCTCTATTTTCCAGCTAACGAATAGAAAATAGGATTCCATCGAGTCTCCTATCTACCTACTCCAGAACTTCTGTGAGGATCAAATGAGATGAGACACATGAAAACACTTCACAGACATTTGGTTAAAGTGTAAAATGTTTCCACCTGGCTATAAAGCAAGTCTTGTTTCTGGGCTGAAGAACTCCAAGGAGTGTAGTCGCTAGGGAGAGGACGCTGGGCGTTGCTATATGACCTCATTACCCGGTGCCCATAGCCATCGTTTCTAGGCTGGGCTGGGCTGTAGGCCACATTTTGCACCATGGGGTCTCAGCAGCATCTGCTGGGATTTGGTGGGGTGTCACTCCAGGGTGGTGGTGGGGGCCTGTGTCCCACTTGGGAGAAGCTGAGTGTTGCTTTGTCAGTGCCAGGTCCGTGGTGCTGTTTCTCTGTAAATGGCCAGTGCGCATCACAGCAGCTCCTGCAATGTGCATCATAGTGACCGGTTGGATGGTTGGACACTTAGCATATTAGCCTTTTATATATATATAGATGTCACAAGAGTGTGCCTTCTGATGGATTGTGGCATGTGTCCAATCAGTAAAGCATGCTACACCAGCAGCATAACGTTTGCAAATATGGTGCTCCTGGCTCTCATATTCCCAAGAGATGCAGTTATAAGGATCAACATGTAAAGTGGCCCAGCTCCTGCTAAGAGACAGTCTGGGGAGTGTAAAGCCTGAAATAAGCTCTGCTAACAATGACCTTCCATTTTCAATTCCTTCTCATAAGTTGCATGGTGCAATTATAAGCCACACCGCCATCCCACCATCCAACCATTGAGGCTGAATTCCAACACAGAGCCTTTTAACAGACATGGCAGCCAAGGCCACGTGCTGGAAACTCCAGGGAACACCCCACACACTAGAATCCAAGTCAGTAACACTTCCTCGGTTTGGACAATTCATGGTTCTGTGAGGATGGATACATTTCTATAAACAGAAAATCATAGTCTCCACTTCCATGAAAATGTTGGATTAAAAGTATTAAATAATGGAGGAGGAGGCACCTTATTAGCCTACATAATAGATAGTGTGCCATGTGTTTCTTTTCAACTCCACATTCCACATTATGTGGGTAGATTGAAATGTGGCCCGTGGCAGCATTGTTGCAAAATACTCATGGTACTCAATTTGTCTCCCAATAACCTTAGCAAATACAAATAATGAACATTTGATTTTTAGTGTTGGATTTAAATGAGTTAATATATGTAAAGTACTTAAAACGACAGTCCAAACACATATAGGAAATGCACTGATTTTATAGTAATGTGCAAATGTATATGTGCTTGAGCACTTACATATTTAGGATTCTCATATATCAATGTTTTTCTCAAATACAAAATTTTTCACACTGGCTTCAGTCTTTACACCAGAAGCAAATATGCATATTGAGAGAGAACACCTTTACCTGCAGCTGGACTTGCACTATCTTGACCACGTGGAAGATGTACTTATCCTCACTCTCTTTGTTGTACTCTTGCATGGCAAACCACAGACACTGCTTCACGTTGTAATTAGAGGCATCGATAACTTTTAATTCCCTTACCACCTTGACCTTATTCTTGTCTGGGTCTGTGCTGGCCACCAGAGCCACCACAAGGGTAAGCAGGAACAGGCAGGACCCCCAGAGTCTTGTCATGGTCTCTCCATCCAGGGGCACAGGTAAGCGTCTTTGTCCTCTCAGGGATGGAGCTGCAGATGAGATGGGGTGACCGCTGCTACTACTGCTATAGGTTCAAAGATCTTACCACAACAACATCAGCCCAGCTAGATTCAAGACAGGGTCACCTGTAGGGCTACCCCTGTCCTCAAAGGAAACCCACCCTAGAGAAGCTATGAGGAGTCTCTGCTCCAGGCATTTGCCCTCCTTATCCTGGGTGTGGTCTGCGGTCCCAGGGACAGCACTTGGCCCAGAGGTACCAACATCTACCCTGTAAGCCTCACCACACACTCTTGCTTGTGTGTCTCAGGCCTATAAGATGTGACTGGGTTCCTGGCTCCAGCACTCAGTGGGCCTTCCAACCTACCCCACTGCCAGCTGCTCCTTCCTCCTTGTGGAGTCAGATTCTGCCCCAGGTGCCAGCTCGTGGTTCTCCTGGGTCTCCAGCACTCTCAGCTTGCAGCTGTACCCTGGCCTGTGGCCTCCTAATCTCTGGTTTCTCTTCATCTGTTGAGTCCATGCCCCTGCAGAGAGGTCCCACTTTGTGATGTAATCTAGCACTTGTGACCCTGCCTCAGGGAGGGCATCTCCAGTCTGCTGCCACTGACCTTCAGTCCAGGCAAACCCTTCCTGCTTCTGCCCTTGGAATGAGGGTCCCTCAAAGGTTTCCTGCTCACATGTGCCATGACCCTAGCTTCCTAAATGCCTGGCCTCTGGACGCCCAACAGTAACTCTCTCCACTGTTCTGCCAGAGAGCAGGTAACACAGCCCACCCTGTGGGGATCATGCACCCCCTGGGCTCTTAGAAATTCTGCTTCTCTGTGAAAATCCCAAATTGGTGTCCAGCACATTACTAGAAAGGTAGATAGGTGAGCATTGGTCCCAGGGTGCCTTCACCTGACCTTGGCCTGCACCTCTCAGGAGGCCCCAGAGCAGTACATGCAGTGGAAAGCTTTAGACCACATTCAGCACCACCACCCAACCACCTCCACAAGCAATACACTCCAGAGGCAGGCTCAGCAGGCAACAGAACTCTGATGAAGTAAGTCCTGCTCTTTGGTGTGGGCTCCTGCACAGCTGGTCCTGGACAGTGTGGGGAGATCAGTGGTCATAGGCAGTCCTTATAGCTGATAAACCTGGGAGTAAATCTCTCCCATTGATGAGCCAAGAACTATCAAGGCTCAACTACAAGAGGAGGGTGTACACAGCCCACACCTGGGGTGAATTTAAAGTGCCCAGTTTGGATGATCAGAGAGGCTATGACACTGGATCCTACAGGACACCTACAACATTAGGCTACTCTACTAAGCCTGGGATACATAGTAGCTCTACCTAATGCATAGAAACAAACACAGGGAAGCAGTCAAAATAAGGAGACAGCCCTAACCAGTTTGGCTCAGTGGATAGAGCATCAGCCTGCGGACTGGAAGGTCCCAGGTTTGATTCCGGCCAAGGGCATGTACCTTGGTTGCGGACACATCCCCAGTAGGAGGTGTGCAGGAGGCAGCTGATCGATGTTTATCTCTCATCAATGTTTCTAACTCTCTATACCTCTCCCTTCCTCTCTGTGAAAAATCAATAAAATATATTTAAAAAAAATAATAAGGAGACAAAGAAGTAGGTCCCAAATGAAAGAATAGGAAAAATCTCCAGAAAAAGAACTAAGCGATACGGAGGTAAGCAAGCTACCAGATACAGAGTTCAAAACAATGGTTATAAGAATGTTGAGTGAACTTAGTGAGAAACTCAACAGCATAAAAAAAGACCAGTCATAATGAAAGATACATTAACTGAAATGAAGAATAATTTACAGGGAATCAACAGTAGAGTAGAAGAATCCAAGAATCAAATCAGCAATTTTGAATATAAGGAAGCAAAGACCACCCAATTAGAACAGTAAAAGAAAAAAGAATCCAAAAAAATAAGGATAGCATAAGGAGTCTCTGAGACAACCTCAAATGTACCAACACTTGCATCATGGGGGTACCAGAAAGAGAAGAGAGACAGCAAGAAATTGAAAACCTATCTAAAAAAGATAATGATGGAAAATTTCCCTAACCTGGTAAACGAAATAGACAGATGAGTGCAGGAAGCACAGAGAGCCCCAAACAAGATGAACCCAAAGAGACCTACACCAAGACACATCATAATTAAAATGCAAAAGTTTAAAGACAAAGAGAAAATCTTAAAAGCAGCAAGAAAAAAGGAGTTAGTTATTTACAAGGGGGAGCCCATTCAACTATCAGCTAATTCTTTAAGAGAAACTTTGCAGCCAGGAACTGGCAAAAAAATGTTCAAAGTGCCCAGCTGGCATGGCTTAGTGGTTGAGTGTCGACCTATGAACCAGGATGTCACAGTTCAATTCCTGGTCAGGGCATATGCCTGGGTCGCGGGGTTTGGGTGTGCAGGAGACAGCTGATCAATGTTTCTCTCTCATCATTGATGTTTTTATGTCTCTCTCCCTCTCCTTTCCTCTCTGAAATCAATAAAAATATAAATAAATAAACGAGATGAGACTGGCCATGAGGGTATAGGAGGCCTCCTGCACAGTTGGTGGGGATGAGAACTGCTGCCTCTATTCTGGAGGACAAATTGAGGGCTTGCAACCCCTGAAATGCAGCAAGTCCATCCTCAAGTACCAGTTGAAAGAATTTCTTAGGTACAGGAGGGACATAAAGGTTCATTGCAGCAAATTTGGCAGCAAGGAATCAGAAGCAGTTTAGGAATGGAAGAAAGGGTAGGTAAAATAAGTGGGCATTCCTATCATACTATGCAAAAGTGAGAAACTAGACTAGATGTATATAGAGAAACAAGAACAGATCTTTTAAAAGACAATGCTAACAGGAAAAAGTAAATTCAAGGGCCTTGGCTGGTGTGGATCAGTGATTAGAGCACCAGCCTACTCACTGAAGGGTCACAGGTTTGATTCCTGGTCAAGGGAACATATTTAGGTTACAGAATCGATCCCTGGCCCCCATTGGTGTGCGTGCAGGAGGCAACCAATCAATATGTCTCTCTCACATTGATGTTTCTCTCTCTCTCCCTCCCTCACTCCCTCTCTCTGTCTCTCTTTCTCTCCCCCTCTCTCCCTTTCATTCTCTCTAAAAAAATCAATGGAAAAATATGCTCAGTGAGCATTAACCAAAAAAAAGTAAATTCAAGTTACATAACGACACAATTACATAAACATTATGAACACAAAACAATACTACCAATTCTTCAAGAATACCAGCATAAAGATACCCATAAAAGTCATAAGATTGGTTATCTAAAAAGGAAATGGACAGGGAACACCGGAGTAGGTGTAAGAGAAAAAGAGAATGAATCAATAAGTGAATAAATGGGAAGCAGAAAAACCAGAGAGGGCTCTGGCACCCTTGGATGGCAAGGGGTAAGGCCTAGGAGTGGGAAAGTACTGAGAACTGAGTCATAGAGGAGAAAAGTGCCTTCAAGTGCCCCTCCCCATGAGGAGGTCCCCTGTAAGCAGTGTATCTGTTGAGTACCTCCTGCACAGGAGGGGAGGGCTGAGTCCTTGCCTGCCCAGTGTGGCAAAGAGATCAGCTTGAAGTCTCCAATGAATAATTTCTTCTTGATTTCTACCCTAATTTCACTGAGGTTTTAGAAGAGTCTGCATGGTATCAGGTCTGTGAATTTCACTGAGAATTACTTCGTGACACCCCATTGATCAAGTCTGAAAATGTTTCATGTACACCTGGCAAGACCATGAACTCATGTTCAATGTTTCAGTGATGTTGGGACAATCTGATATTGTGTCATTCAGATCTTCTGTATCAGAATTTGAGACCCTGACTGATGCCTTGTGTCCAGTCAGTTTTACCAGTTTATGGAAGTTGTGTTTTCTACGTTCACTATGATTGTATATTTGATTATTTCTTCTTTCTGTTCTGTTTTTGCTGTAAGTATTTTTAAACAGGTGAACATTTTCATCAGCATAATAGCCCCCTTGATTTCAGGTGGTGCTTGTTGTCTTACAGTTAATTTTATAGGCTATTAGTACTGTTACACCACAGCCGTTGGCATAGTATACTTTAGTCCATACTCATTTTTCAAAAATCTGTTTTCATATATTTATGACGTTTCCTTTTTGCTTTGTTTTCTTTTTTGGACATTTTTTATTGATTTCAGAAAGGAAGGGAGAAGGAGAGAGAATCAATGATCAATTGCCTCCTGCACATCCCCTACTGGGGATTGAGCCCGCAACCCAGGCATGTGCCCTGAGCAGGAATCGAACCATGATCTCCTGGCTCATAGATTGATACTCAACCACTGAGCCACACCAGCTGGGCGCTTTGTTTTCTTTTGTTTTTCCAACAATAAACTAAATTTGTCTTTTAACTGGAGCATTAAGTTCACTTACATCATTCTAGCTACATTTACTCTTCTCCCAGCTTTGTGCCATGATGTTCATGTATACTAATTCTATATGCATTTTACAATCTTCAATAAAATATTATATTTATAGTCTGTATATCATCTAGATTCATCCACATATTTATTCTTTTGAATGTTGTGTCTTTCTTCCTACTATACTATTTTTTCATCTTTTCCTTCTGCCCAGGAAACTCCCTTTAGTATTTATTTTAGAACAATTCTACTGGCAATAATTACATTCCACATTTGTTTAAAATTACTTAGTTCTATATGCACTTTTGAGAGATATTTTTGCTGGCTAAGGAATCATTTAGAAGATGCATGACAATGTCTTTTGACTTTCATTGGTTCCTATCTGAGGGCAGCGGAAAGCCTGATGTTTGCTTATTTGAAGAGAAAACACCTCTGTCTGATTTCAAGACTTTTCTCCTTAAATTTGATTTTTAACTTTTTCATGCTCAGCTGTGGATTTCTTCTCTTATCCTGCGTGGAGTTTGTAATACTGCTTTAAAAAAATGGTTTGATGTCTTTGGTCAGCTCTGTATAACTCGGGCTTTGCAGTTCCAAATATTGCTGCGGCCCCATCG